GGACTAGCGCATGTTACTCTGGGAAACATGCGCCAGACTAATGCATGTTTCTCTGGAAATGTGCGCCAGACGTTATGGGCATTATAGGTATGTGCTGAAATTAGCATTAAAATATTAACGTTAAAATTAAAAGTCACGTGACTTATATAGTAATGCCCATGGGCCGCCCACCAAAGGATATAACCTATGCATTTGTGACGTAAATAATAAGGTTATATCCTTTGATGATCACCCGAGTGGGGTGCCCAATTATAAATATATCCTTCAGGCCATTCAGCTGAATAAATCTTACCAAAACCACCTTCCGCAATATAAGTGATATTTTGAAATTTTTCAAAAGGTATCCATTCAAGATATTTTTTATGATATACAGCATTAAGTTGTGATTGCTGTATAAATTTATCAATATCTTTATTTCCACTAGTCCAATTTTTAAAGTTATCTTTAAATCTTTTAGCATTACAAGATTGACACTATTTTCTTCCTGTGCCAGGTTCTTTACATTCTCCACATATTCCATACGCTTGTTTTCTTTTTTCTAAATCTCCTATATAAACTACTCTTTCATCTACATTTTCTGATTCAATAGTTGAATCAATAGTAGGAATTGTAACATGGGCCTTTTAATAGACAAAAGATTATTAATATTTTTAACTACAAAAATTCAATAAAATAATTATAATTATTAAAAATATTAAATTGCTATTACCTGATATTTACTTGTATCAGCATTAGTAATCCATAAATTTTTTGGGGTTTCATCCATATTAATTGAGTTATGGATTATAATTTTAATTTTAGTTACTAATATTAATAAATAACTTTGTTACTCAAAATAAATTTCAGAATTATTATGGGAAAAAGAAAAAAATTATAAATTAAACAAAAATTCACATTATTTGTATTTATTTATTTATTTTATGTGAAGCCAGACAGACTATTAAACAGGACATATACCATACGTGAGTTATCCTACTTCTAGCTATCATCCATCACCAGGATGGACCCAAACTTCTTTAAGACCGTTGGAACCAGCCTGATCCCCCTCCACTACCGAAAGAAGAACAGGAACGACAATTAAAAAGTGAACTAATTAACCCGTATTTTTCTTTCAACCAACCAGGGTTGCCACCTGTAAATACTGTCATAGGTGGAATAATTCACACTATTTGTAGTTGTTAATATCTGTCCTAAAACGAACTAATGTTTCAAAATATGAAATACAAAATATAGAAACTAAACTATTTCAAATACGAAATTGAAAAATTAAATCTATATTAGTGGGTAAGAAGTCTTCTTCTTTGGTATCCCTAAAGTTGAAAATACAAACTTTTTTAGTAGGAGGTATAAGATCTATAATTATTATAATGTGTGTGTCTGGCGCGATGCTTTTTCGGGTGACGTTCTACTATTTTTGTATCATCGGAGGTATCACCAAGGTCATCTTTTACGTATTGGACATCATTCGGTCAAATAATAGCGCGGTACAGTTTGAAGGGGTAGTGTTCATCCCTGTATTTTTTACCAAAATCGGTTATCAAATTGTTGAGACGCTTCGATGCAACTGCACGTCGATCGGGAGATTTCTTGGTGTTATGTCCATATGCGTAATTGCGAATTTTTATCATGCGATCATGAAAATCATTAGTCATCCGCGTAAAAAAATCCATGGCATTCGTACGCCTGAGATAATGTTTTGTAGAAGTGTTATGATCCCTGATGTCTTTAATGACATTTTCCCTCTCGTTAAGACGATCATGAGCTTTAATCTTGTCAATACGGTCATCATTTAGACCTAACATATACGCATCTCTTAAGGATAATTGGATTGTAGAATCTTGTAATAGTAATATAGCATCTATGTATTCTGATGCACCTTTACCATAATGTTCATCGATGAGATTTGCGATGTACCAATCCCTATAGGAATGTTCAATTGTATCATCATTACTGCCATTATCGGCTGAAAAATCATCATCTTCATCTATATGTTGATTCATAGATGCATTCCTGATTAACGGAGAAATGTGAGAAGGTAGAATCTTATCCTCGTGTAAGCGTAAAAGAACGCGATTCTGATCATATGGAAAACGAAATAAAGGGACAGTTGCATAGCGTTTGAATAATGCCATGTTAAATTTCAAATGAGGGAGTCTTGTTAGGATCTTTGGTGCTGATGAAAGAGGAACTTCCTTTGATTCGCAAGTTTAATCTTATGGCGAAGTTTGAGAGCTGGCCCTATTCTGGGTTTTCTATTGTTGAAGATACGTCTACAAGATCGATCAAAATGAGTCTTTTACTTTGCAGCAGTTCGAGAATTAGAACTTAATAATTTGGAGAAGTTTTTGTATATCTTAGTGTACATAGGACCGATGGCCTTATTAGGCGGAGAGATTGCGTTGAGGTCGTGCACTTCATAACGCGTTGTATAAGAAATGCCCAATCGATTTGAAAAAATCTGTTGCCTCGAGTTATTGTTGTATTTTTCATAAATAATGTTGGCGTGAAAACTTTTATGATGAATAATATTGTTCGTAGAGGTTGGTATAACTTTTTCCTCCATAGGTAAGTTTATATCTTGAGAAATACGCGAATGGTGTTGAATGCAAGCGTGTCTATTAAAATTTTTAACAAAAGGACAAGGTATACGGCATGGTGTTGGTTTTTGATGAGGAAACTTCTTTGTAGGTAGTTGATTACAAGCTACATAGATACCAAAATGAAATCTGTATCATTTGTAAGAGAAGTTAAAAAAAGTTTTAGTAATATTATTGCTGCACGTGATTTTTCTCTCACGTGATGTTATTAGATTAATTCTATCCAACAATTTGAGTCGTATCATGTTAAAAAATTTGTTCTGAATACGCCGAGGAATAACTCGTTGATGTAGAAAAAAGTGCGTGAGGCATTTCGATATTTGAAATCTGTGATTAGGTAATTTACTTGTGAAATAATACCGAATTGGGGTTGATAACATATGATTATCATTTGTGTATATTTTAAGATGAATTTCATTGGTGTCGGGTATATGATCGATAACCTCAAAAAAGAAACTTTTTGAACGCCTGAATTCATAGATCTTGTTGTAACCTGCTTTAGACGTAGCGGTCATGTGAAATTTTTCGAAAGAGACCAAAAAAGAGAAGGTCGAAAGTATTGGTTGAGGTGAAGGAGCTTTGATTATGATAGTCTGAAGTACGTTATCCTGTGGTTTAATATTCATCCCTAAAACTTTATCAGTAGCAAGTCCGCCTTCAGGAATGTTTCTTCTGTTATCGGAATGTCTGTCCAACTGCGGATAAGGTTTCGGAAGTTCATATGAGGCCAAGGAAAAGTTGGTGTTCTTGTTGTTTAAAGAAGACATAGTCCCTTAATATTGGGATAAGGTGAGAAACAAAAACCTTGTATAACGACCAAGGCGCCCTACAGGGCCTCTTTCCCTTTGGAGTTTTCGTAGAAAACTATAAAGATAACTGAACGCAATTTTACTGCGGAATACTAACAATTTGGAAAAAAGGGGAAAGAGTTTTTTTTTTTTCACATTATTTGTATTACCATTTGTACTACTATTGTATACAAAAATTACTATTTTTGTAACAAAGAAAATTCGTAAGCAGCAGCTGATCATCATAAAAACAAATCTAACCCGAAATGGTTAAAATGAAAAATGCGAGGGTGATCATCAAAGGATATAACCTTATTATTTACGTCACAAGTGCATAGGATATATCCTTTGGTGGGCAGCCCATGGGCATTATTATATAAGTCACGTGACTTATAATTTTAACGTTAATATTTTAATGCTAATTTCAGCACATACTTATAATACCTATAATATCTGGCACACAATCCCAGAGAAACATGCGTTGGTTTAGCGCATGTTTCCCAGAGTAACATGTGGTAACTCTGGCGCATGTTCCCAGTAACATGTGATGACTCTGGCGCATGTTCCCTACTGTAACATGCGATGATTCTGGCACATGTTCCCTACTGTAACATGCGATGACTCTGGCGCATGTTCCCTATTGTAACATGCGATGACTCTGGCGTATGTTCCCTACTGTAACATGCGATGACTCTGGCGCATGTAACATGCGGTGACTCTGGCGCATATTCCCTACTGTAACATACGGTGACTCTGGCGCATGTTCCCTACTATAACATGCGGTGACTCTGGCGCATGTTTTCTACTGTAACATGCAGTGACTCTGGCGCATGTTTCCTACTGTAACATGCGGTGACTCTGG